TACATACACGGAGGCATGGTTGAATTGCCAATGTATAAATAAATATACTTATGGAGGCATGGTTGAATTGCCAATATATAAATAAAAATATTTACAATGGCATGGTTGATTTGCCAAAGCATAATTACGTTGTTATGTGTTAGATGATTAAAATATCATCTATGGTTGTTGTATGTATGGATTTGATTAGGGTTAGATATTCTTAAATGAGAATAGTTTAGTACTTACTGGTTAGTGTATTATTTTACATTAATAAAATAATATTGGGGAAGACGTGGATGATTTGTCAAAACTTGGATTTTGGATATGTGATTTAAACAATTAAAATCATTATCGGGTTGGGATTAAATAGAGTATTTCTTTTATTATAATTTGTTGTTTAAATGATTAAACAACTGACTAGGATGGGATTAAGGTCAAAGGAGTTTTTATAAAATGAAATGGTAGATTGGTCTAGGTATGAATATTATTCTAATAATTATTTAATAGGTATGGAAATTTAATAAACCTATTAATGGATGTGATTAGTATAGTATATATAATTATATATAGACATGTATATCGTGCTTTATTAAAGTTAAAACTTTATTAGGTTTGGTTTTGATCAGAGATGATCTGCTTATTGGTTTTCAGAGGCCTGGTAGAGTGAACTTGCTCGTAGGGTTTAACCCACGATTTATTTTTCAGGTATTAGAGGTTCCAGTCTCGAGGTTGAGGATCCGCAGCTGGGAGACTGTCATTCGTCTATTCATCTTGTGTACTTTTAAATAGTATTGGATTATTGGATAATGTTTTAAGGGGTCCTTGAGTTATGGGATTTCCGAATTGTAATTGTTGGAGAATCATTAAGTAATATTTATTTATTAGTTTTCTTCAGCGGTTTATTTATTCTTTATTATTCATCTTTGTATTCTGTGCTTGTTAAATACTTAAATTGTTTTGATATCCCTTGATTTTGTGCGCGGACTTGATCAATCCGTGTTCCAAAATTAGGGGGTATGACATGTTAACTTGATGAATCTCTCATAATCTGAGCCTTTCTTTCATTTCTGTTGTCTTTCCAGCCTTTTTTGTATCATCATTTGACTTGCCATAAATTGTTTGTTTTGTTCTGCCAAGTCTGTTATAGCCTTCTCCATTTTCTGCATACCAGTTAAGTACTCTCGTTCTCTTCTCATACCACCCTGAATAGGTTGTTCCGCTTTAGCCTCAACAGGAACATAAGAGGCTTCTTCCTCGATTCTATGATAACCACTTCCTTCTTCCATTACTTTTTATCTGCAATGAATCTCAAATATAACAACACACACACACACACACACACACACACACACACATATATATATGATACATAATCACCACATATATTTGTTAGTATAAACTTAAGTCAACGAAATGACTTTACTACACACTTCCTACTGCCACTGCCAGTTTAGACTCTTATTACCTCCAGAACCTATAAAACCTAGGCTCTGATACCAAAAGTTGACACACCCCAACCCAATTTACTCTATTAAATAAAGTGAGCCATTGGAATGTATCTAACTATCTGCATTAATCTCATACGTACATGACGTCATTATACATCAGAGTACCTGCTTAAAAGTTTACAATTTAAAACAAACTACATGCCCATTATGCAATCCCGCCAAAACTAAAACGTTAATTATAAGTCATAATATTAAATCCTACTACAATATTTACATTTTATATAAAAGACGTTCCATTATTATTTTCTCCAATCACACTCAAGACTTTAGACCTGGCAGTAGTAACCCAACCTGATATCTAAAAAAAAAAATATAGATATGGAAGGAGTGAGCTTAAAGCCCAATGAATACAGCACTCCTACATCAGAGTATTATAACAAATATTATCTGATAACTCCAATTAAACTTCATTAACATATTACAGGCATTAAAATATAATACTCTCCTTCTAGGCCAGAGTATGGATCTTATATAATATAGTACTCTCTTTCTAGGCCAGAGTGTGGACCTTATTTAATGTAGTACTCTCCTTCCAGGCCAGAGTATGGACCTTATATGATATATTTATTACTCTCCTTCTAGGCCAGAGTATGGACCTTATATAATATATTCATATCAACAATCCTCATTTCATATAAACATTCTCAAGATATCAATTATCACATTTAAACATAAAACTTCCAGTGAGTACACTCACCTTGGCTACTTCTCAAATTGTCTATTTATCCTTTGATATTGCTGAAGTTATTTGTTCTTTCTCCTTGCCTGAACAACATTATACTCATGTTATATTTATTTTTACATAAAATTAAATAATAATCATTACTTCCATAACAGTCCCAACCATCTACACCATTATAATTAAAATTGAAAGTACAGCTGTTTATATGAAATCTCAACTTCACCATTCCATCTAGCCAACCATTAACAAAGTCATACTTGAGTTAGGTGAAATAAATAAATAAATAGATATCCTTTCTACAACACCCATAACCAAGTAATCCACGAAAATTAAATTAATAAACATCCCTTATAAAATACTTTTACTAATTTGGTAATAAAACAAAAACCAGCAGTATTTTCTCTTTTCCCTTCTTTCTATTTTTCTCTTCTTTAAATCTCCTCTCTGAATTCTATAATCTCTTTCTGTACATTTATTGCATGTTTTCTCATATTATTAACCATATATATATAAATCAATGCATTCTCAACTATTCCAACTAATTAATACTTGAGTCTATCAAATTAACACAAAACTCATGAATCAGATTATACATGGAAAGATTAACTACTAAACGTCAAATATAGAGATCAAAAATATAAATCTCCTTACCTGCACCTGAATCTAATACGGATGGTAAAGAAACCCCTTTCCTCTTTCTCCCCTTTTCCCTCTTCCTTTCTCACGCCGCTTCACTTTCCTTCCCTTGCGTTTTTCCCATATAAAACTTTCTATACTTCTGTTTTGTTTTTGTTTATTTTATTTTATTTTATTTCAATCCCTAGCCGATGAGAAAGTCTCAAAAATAAATTCCAATAAAAGTTTATTTTATTTCTAGGCTACGTGTCATGTGTAAGTGGCTTACTAGAATGTGCTGGAAGGTACTTACTTATAGTCACCTCAATGAATAAGCTTTATTATAGTAAAATGAAATATTTATGTATACAAGAGGTGGGTCCCACGGCAATCTTCAATACTACTTCTAATATACACCAGCATCAAGGAAAAAAAACATATCCATTATATATAATTAAATATCACAGCCTTGTAGGTAAGTTGTTAGAGAAACTTCTAATATGGTGATATGTGATTACTAAAATATTCACACATAAACAATGTTTAATTAAATTTAAATTATGCTAATGCAATTATTTATTTATTTATGTTGTATTGGGGTCTTACATACCACTCATTTCCCAGACCTCTAAATGTCTGACATTTCTTACGAGGTGACATACTACAGCGAAATACAAGTCAACAACTATGACACTATCCACAGTCCCAAACTGACTCACATAGATAAAAGCCGTTAAACACGTAACATGTTTCATCTTTAAACAATTAAACAATTATCACTTAAGCACATAAGTATGCCTGCAAAGCCCAAACCAAATAAACACATAGCCATTTAGGCAGGTAAGCATGCTTGCAAAACAAGTAACAAGTAAGCACGTAAGCGTGTGAGACAACACAAACAAGAAAACCCTTAAGCGGTGCCAGCCGTAGTGCCACGTCAGTTGCCAAACTCATGGTTTCATTCAATCCACCATGATCCACCATGGTTTTAAGGGGCTGTTATTATATTTTATAATATATTTTAACCTTATATAGGATTGCCATATTTATAGGATTCTAACCTTGTATAAAATTACTATATATATATATATACCTACCATATACATATAAGGTTTACTTATTTATTATACATAATCTCTCATATATAAATCCCTCTTATATATCTCAATATCTCATGGATTAATACAATATAGAGTTTTATAATCTGTCTTTATTTCTAACACATTCAATAAAATTCATCTTATAAAGAATGCATAAATGACACCAGTAAAAATATAGAATTATAAGATCATCCATTTCCACCTTGGTTTACAAAAATAAATTATATATATATATATATATATATATATATATATATATATATATAATATAACTCAAGCCATTGTAAAAAGCAATTGGATGTTCCGGTACATGATAGCAACACCGCCAGCACCGGCGGTCAACAGAACAAATCCCAATGCCTCTGTATATCTTCTTGAAATACGTTCAAACCATGGCAATCTTTTTGAAATTAACTTGCAGTACGCCTCTGCATATCTCAATCTCTCATTCTCTGTGATGGCTGACGAGCGTATATTTATAAATTCTGTCATTTGCTCTTCTACACTTCGTACAAAAATAAAAGAAATACTTATAAAGACTAAATTAACAATTAAATAGTCATAAGAAGGGTCGAACACATATCCAAGATTTGAACTCAAAATTAAAACCAAAATTGAAGGAAAAAACTTTTAAAACAATTTAATGATTTTTTACTAATGAACTAAAAATAAAATAACTAAATAAGACTAAATAAATTCTTATAAAATAATAAGAAAAATCTCAAGGAAACCACAACTTATTATAAATAAATTTGTATATTTCTCTTTATGTAAATTTTCTTATTGTAAGCAAATCATTCTGCCAGTCCAATTATAACTTGGAAAGATGAAGAAAAATAATAGCGTAAAATTGTTATATCTTTGGTAAATAGAAATAGGCATTCTCCAAATTACCATTAATTGGCAAACGGAAGAATCCTCTTTATAATTTTTTTTATCAAAATAAGAACAAGAATAAAAGAGTAAAATAATGCTCTAAACAGAAAATTTCATAAAAGATTTAAACTAAATTTAATTATATTTCAGCCGCGGTGGTTTCATCGCTTCCTTAAATAGAAGAGTAAAATAATATAAGGTTTACTTATTTATTATACATAATCCCTCGTATATAAACCTCTCTTGTATGTCTCAATATCTCATACATTAATACTATAGAGTTCTATGGTCGGCCTTTATTTCTAACACATTCGATAAAATTCATCTTATAAAGAAGGCATAAAACTCACCTTAAAAAAAAAAAAAAGGGCATAAATGGCACCAGAAAAAATATAGAATTACAAGATCATCCATTTCCACCTCGGTTTACAAAAATATATAATATATATATATATATATAAAATATAACTCAAGTCATTGTAAAAAGCAATTGGATGTTCCGGTACATGATAGCAGCACCGCCAGCACCGGCGGCCAACAGAACAAATCCCAATGCCTCTGTATATCTTCTTGAAATACGTTCAAACCACTCTGTATATCTTCCTGAAATACGTTCAAACCATGACAATCTTTTTGAAATTAACTTGCAGTACGCCTCTGCATATGTGAGATACTCATTCTCTCTGATGGCCAATGCTTCACTATTCTATAGCGAAAGAAACACGAGAAGTTTAGTATTGATTTCATTTACAGCGGTGAAGAGTATAACTTAAATGCAATAGATATATAGCTTTTTGACAAATAAATATGAAAATGGTGTCAATTAGAAATGTTCACCGTCTGCCTGAAACTCTTTAAGCTGGTCTTTAAAGATTGAAGATTACAATGTTTAACAGAGTGCTCCTCCCATCCATTGTATAACTTATCCAGAATATAAACACTTGCTTCAATATTATCTAAATAAAGGTCCTCCTGTTTCAAAATGAAAGTTTTATGAAAAAAAATTAAACAAAAAATACCTTATATTGTGAGCAATTAATCAAAATTAATTATACACCCACGTACCCATTGCTTGTAACAGTCTTGGTTCTGAGTCAAACACCATATGAATATATTGGTTGCCTCGTCAGTTAAGCCATGTATACCTGCAAATAATCAAGCCACATATAAAGTTTGGTTCCCAAATTAAGGAAGAACACAACACAGCCACTAAAATATTGTAGTCTATCCTAATTAAGTTTACATTTATGTTCTCCAACAGCTTTGATGGCAAATTGCAATATTTCCCCAGTTATCTGCTTCATTTCTTTGCTACCAGGGGAGCAAGCAAGAGCAATCTTTTTTAAGGTGCGATACACGGCCTCAAACCTTTGAGTAGCCTGCACAAAATACATTGAAAATGCAGGCCTCAAAACCAAACTTCGGGATATAATCAGAGACCTCCGAGTCTCATGTGTTGAGCAGAGACTATTGCATAATGCATATGCTACCAAGCTAAGAATACACACCTTAACCTTATCCTTCAAATACACCGGGAAGGCGATTCTCATTAGAAGCTCAAGAGCCCATGGTGGCACTACGCGCTCCCCATTCCAGACTACTCCATTTAATAGAACGGAACGAGCTTTTGGGACAGATAGAATTCTGCAAATTAGGAACATATGAATTTAAAGGATGGGATTCATGTAGTTGAAAGGAGGTATATATATATTGTTGCTAAATTAATTGTAATGGTTTCCAACCTCTCCATAAGCTTTAAAATCAAGCATCTGTTCTGCCGATTACTATAGCTCAGCATTGGCAAGAGTAAGTGTACCCACATGAAAAGCCCCACAATCAAATTTCCTTCGAAGGCCTATACAAATTTAATTTTAGTTCAATAAATTATTTAGTAGGAAAACAATTATCTTGTAGTAACATTGTCCAATTTTTACCTGGGCAACCAACCATATTGTTATTTTTTGTTTATCTTGATGTACTTGATATTTTGGGTCCTTCGCCATTACAGGCAAGAGGCTGATCAACACATCAGGTTTCTGTCGTACCACCGTTGCTAAAACCACAAATATGGCAGCCTGCAGCTTGCAAGTGTATATTATTTAGTAAATAACTAGTTGCTAAGATGAGCAATAGAGACAATTTATGGCTATGAATAACGTTAGCAGAAATTGAAAGAAAACCACAGAGATCAAGGACGAAAAAAAGAATTAAAAAAGAAAAGAAAAAAAGATTAAGCTCGTTTGAGAAAGCTAGAAGGGCAAATATGAAAGAGTTTTCAAGAAAGAGTAGAGAAAAAGGAGGACATATATAATCAATCTTTCCTGCATTTAGTTTCATATATGTACCACAAAAAAAAACAAAACTACTTAATGCATGAATGGAATAATGCTACTGAGCCAAAAAAAAAAGTTATTTTTAAATTAAGGAAAATAATCAAATTAGGAAAAATCTTCGCAGATTTCTCAATCCATAATGGATTACAATTACAACCAATTCCTCCATTACTTTCAACAGCAATCAGCTCCATATACATGGTATTAGTGCACTTCTTACATGCAATACACTTTTTGACATGGAACAAGTATATATATCAATATCACAACGTGTGTGTAAAACACTAAAACCACTTTACTTTGGATTACTTGAGAGTGTAACATAATAGAGTAAACAGCATTTTGATTCTAAAAATAAATATGTTGATCATAACTGAAGATAATTTTATGAAAAAAGAAAATTTTACCCGAGACTTTTGAGGTTGCTGAACCACCTTTCTCGATTTATCCATGTCGGAGAAAATTTTATCCAATGACCGCAACACAAAGGGACCAAGTGCTTCACAAGATATCTGGTTAAGCCAGTCAACTGATGTCTTATAAACATCATTCGATATGTGAGAAATAGGGATCTGTTAAGAGAAAAATAATTGTCCAAATTTAGTAATCATATATGTACGAATTATACACAAAATACTCACACATGCATATATATGCATTCACAATTCTGTTCGAGAGTTGTCTTAAATTCTGCCAATTAAAGATGAAGAATTGGATTAGTTCAAGTATTGCGGACTGGTCCAACGTGCTTGATATCTGCCCGAATCAATTTTCTTTTTTGTTTGCTACTTTCTAAAGGGCCTAGAATTTTGGAGAATCAATGTGTTGGGTAATTTTATTATACGATGCTTCCTGCATTTAAAAGATGAAACAATTGTAGGTCTCCCTGTCATGTGTTGTCTCTCTCTAAAATTATTTTCTTGATTAATTTCAATTGCTTTAAAGGGTATCTTTCATTTATTACTTTTATCATATAAAATCAAATAAAAGAATAATAAAAAAGTTAAAAACAATGAGAGAAACTCACATCAACTATCTTCCCAAAAGAGGACTCCCCGAATATCTTCAACCATGGGAACTGAGTAGCACTAACTGAAGCAAACACGCGGTCAAAATAATCTGCAAATAGCTTGACCTGAATATGCTGCTTCGATTCATACGAAGCCTAAAAAATCCACAAATAATTTTTGTTAACACAACGAACACATAATTCAATCCAGTTCTAAACACAGTCCATTAAACCATATTGACATATAAAATAAAAATTAAAATAAAATAGAAACTCACGGATGTCTTAGCAAGGAAAGCTGCAAGATCGGAGGCATTGATCTTCGCCGCAGCTTCGGCCACAGTAACCTCTGGATTCTCTGGTTGGTTTGGTTTCAGCTCTGGTTGGTTTGGCTTGATGTGATCGTGGTCGTCACCGGAGCTCTGTGGAGGAGCCTCCGTGGTATTGCGGTTCAAGTACGTTACTATTACTATTTTCCCGCGATTGTAAGTTTCCACAGTCATGTCAACGTCTTTCAAATTGTCAGCCATTGTCAACGGCCTCTTTCCCTTCTTCTCTCAATCACCCTTTGTCTATTGATACGACAGAATTATTGAATTAATCACAGTTTCTTCTCTTATAGATACAATATATATATATATATATAGTGAAAGAGAGAGGCGAGGTTTACTTGCATTCAAAATCCTTTTAGGAAACCGTCTCCTTATTGGAAAGAGACACAGTTGCGGTGGGCCTTATAGTGTGAAAAAAAAAAGAAAAAAGAAGATAATTACATTTTTTTTTTTGCGGTAAAACACAAATAAATTCTATAATACAGAGTATATATATATTTAAAACTATTAAGTGTATTTTTGTCAAAAAAAAAAAAAAAAAATTTCTGCATTTAAGTTCTAAGCTACTGAATCTTCCATTTACACCTAGCTAAATTCAATGACGGCTCAATTTAATTTGAGGCAAAAAGTCACCTTCACCATTTTTATAATCTTCTAATTTTTTTTAGATGGTTTATTTGTGTTTTTATTGGATTTTCACCTCAATTTTGTTTACTATGTACTGATTATTAATTGTAACAATTTATCAATAGTTCTTTTTTAGATTGAAATAGTTAATCTATTCTTTTTTTCACTTTCTAATAGACATTCAATCATATAAATAAAAATGGTCACAATTTAGAAACAAAATATATAATTTTATGATAACAAAATTTAAAAAGACTATAAGATAATTTAAGATAAATAACAATAGATGTAGAAAAATTTGTGAGAGGAGGGAGAACGTTGTACGAGAGAGCAGAAAAAATACTTGAGAAATAATCGAGTTTAGACTCAAACTTTCGTTTTTACCATAAAAAAATTGGATATAAAATAAAAAAAAATTTAAAAGATAGGAGTAACATTTTATTGACTTCTTTATAGGCAACATTTAATTTTTATATATTAAAACTGTCGTGAATTCTACACAAGATTTTTTAAAATTGAATTAATTATCATTTAAACTCATAATGAAATATTTGTTTATTAATTAAAATTTAAAGGAATATATTAAATAAATTTTTGTAGAAAACTTTAAAAGGACTCTCATACAAGATAAAAGTTTATGATGTTTAATGCAATTTGTTTGATTTGAAATATAACTGTTAAAATTAACCTAGATACAAGATTTGAAGATGGCTTTCTGTTGCAGCTAAATGACTTTTTTTTTTTTAATAAGTAAAATGACTTCATTTAAAAGAAAAAAAATTAAGAAAAGAGGGGAAAAAAACTAGAAGAGGGCAAAATCCCCACAATTGGCCCAATGGATAAGAGGTTGTATGGGTGGTTCACAACTTAACTACTCCACGTGTACATAATAGGCATTCTACATGGACATTCTAAATTAATAAACATCATTTGAAACTAGTTTGTCGCATTAAGTAAAAGACCCCAATCGATAAACAAACGCTAGCGCTGTGTCACTATTATGAGATATTCAAAAAGCCTCGAATGGTTATGACCATCGAGCAAATCAAATCCTAGCAAAGCGTTGGGTCATTTAAAAGTCTCGAATGATTATCACCAACGAGCAAATCAAACCCTAGCAAAGCATTGGGTCATTTAAAAGTCTCAAATGATTATCACCAACGAGCAATTAAACCCTAACAATAAGCTAGGTCATTCAAAAACCTCAAAGGGTCATCACCAGTGAGCAAATCAAACTCTAGCAACACGCTAGGTTATTCAAAAGCCTCAAATGGTCATCACCAACGAGCAAATTTAACCTTAGTAGCGCGCTAGGTCATTTAAAAGCTTCGAATGGCTATCGCCATCGAGCAATCAAACCCTAGTAGCGTGCTAGGTCATTCAAAACCTTGAATGATTATCACCAACAAGCAATCAAGCCCTCGCGCTACGACATTCAAAAGAAGCTATGAACAACGCCTTTAACCCCTTTAGCCTTCAGCAAAAGCAATTGAACAACTATACCTTTCTACACTACAAGGAACTTCAAGACTTCTGGGCAAATGAAAACACCATGCCATACAGCCAAAGACAAATCATGGGCAAACATCTCGAGATACTGATAAGGGTGCTCTCGATCATAGGGTGCTCTCGATCATAGGGATCTATAAACACTACAAGAAAAATAATTTTATAAAATAATTTTTTACCATGGTAAAAAACGCTTTCTATCACGATTTTGAACCGTAGTGGTAACGGCCATGGTAATAAATATACTACTTTCTACCACGATGTAAAACCATGGTATAAAAAAAACTTTCTACCACAGTGTACAACCGTGGTAGATAAAAAATCTTCTACCATGGTCCAAAACCATGGTAGGAAAAAAAAATTTCACCATAGTGTTGGACCGTGGTAGTAAAATAACTTTTTACGACCATACTGGACTGTGGTGTATTAAAAACTTTCTACCATGGTTCTTATATGTTATTTATTTAATATTTTTTTTAAATAGTGTAGCCCCTATCTAATTAAGGAGGCCTCTTTTTTTTTTTTTTTTTTTTCTACTACTACAATATAGCCTTGCAAGTACCCAACACAACATAAACAAACCCTAAATAAATAAAAAATAACATCATAACCAAAATAAAATACAACCAGCTAATACCATCATATATATATAACCAATTCCAAATCATGATTTTATACAAAAATTAACCATATACAAATTTCAAAAATGTACATGATCCACACCTTATATCTTTACTTAACCAAAATAAAACAAAAGTTCTTCATATCTTCTTACTCTGTTTTAGTCTCTCTCTTCCATGCAACTTCTTCATGAGTCATACGAAAAATATAGCGGCAACAAAAAAAGTAATGGCAACCGTAATACCGCAATCCTAGCTATGACCTACAAAGATGTAATAGTTGAAGTAAGAGAATGTAAAACAAGTTGTAAAGTTGCCAAAATTAAACCAAGTTAGGAGCCTAAGTTGAATATATATGGTAGTTCTAAAAACTGATTAAGGTAACTTGATATTTGGATGCGAGGAAAGTGTAAGGTTAATTGTTGCAAACTTTCAAATTAAGAAATTCATCCTAAAAAAAAAATTTTTAATGCCATTTACACAACACGTAGCCTATGTAGACAAATGAATGCAGTGAGAGCATTGCCTTCATCCCACCATGTGACTTCGAATTAACTATTACATTGTCGAAGAATTTGGTATGTTCATATAAAATCAACCGGAATCTAGTACAGAACTTACCCTCTAATTGACCCAAATAAACACAACTTCAGACCTCCATAAAACTAACAAGACTTTCCTTGGCCACTGTTTACCGAACCAAAAAAATAAAAATGAAACTCTCCTTTTCAGGACTCTATTTTCAGTTAAAAAGATCAGTGGTCAAGGTTTCATATATATCAAATAAAAAAATAAGTAATATAAAAAAACTAGGGTCCTCGCTGTTGGGCAAGGTTGTATAATGTATATTATGTGATTGTTAAATTGATGGTATCCATTACCGTAATAGTTACATTAAATAGGAAGACTCAGGCTGGTATGACCGAGCTATTTCCGAGATAAAGGCATAACAAAATTAAATATAAAGAAATCAGTTTCCAACAACTTTTCATAAGATCATAATATAAAGAAAAAAGAGGAGGATTAATTTGCAACACTTTTTTGTCTTCATAACTGAAATCAGAACAGCAGCTAAACACCTGATGCTACACTAGAAAGACAAATTACATGGCTTCCGACTTCCATCATTTTGCACCAGAAATTAAGAGGTATATAACCTCTTTTTTTTTTTTTTTTAAAAAAAAAAAAAAAAAAAAAAAAAAACTAGCAACATTTTGCTAAATTAAATTTATATCTGATAAATATGCATATGATTAGGGGTTTTATGATAATTAAACTGACATACACATAATTCGTAACAAAATAACCCTCCCCCTCCACCTGAAAGAAATACAAATACTAAGTGAAAAATTAAATGGGTAGTGACTTTTTCACTTTTTCGGGTGAAAAAATTGAACTGCCCTTGGCCATCATTAAGCCATTTTATGCTGCCATTGTTTTAGTTTCTGAATTAAGAAACTAAATTCAACGAAATAGAAATATTGAATACATGACAAGTATTAAGCTAAGGCAAATTAAAAGTGCGCAAGATTAAATAACTAAAATGAGAAATTGAGCTAAGCTGAACTACCTGCCACTCTTGAAATCCTTGCAAGCTCTCAGAATTCAACTTCTTGATAGCTAGGTGTGGCCCTCTCATCTAGAATGGAGCAAAATTGTGGGCTCCAAAAGATACACATCCATCCTGAGACCATACATCAATGACGTAGTAGCTAGCTTCAAATAATATCCAAGAAAAAATATAACACAAGCCACTGGCTTTAATTTAAAGAAGACAACAACTACAAATAACCAGAACAACCATTCATTCTATCAGCATTAGGTCCATAGCTTCACAATGTAGCCTTTCAAAGACCACAAACCAGAAATCTTGGTTGGATATCAATAATAAAACATATGTGAATATATTTCTCTGTATATTTTATTTTTCCCATTTGTATCCAACCGCAAGTGCATGTTATTAAGCCATTCAAGAAACAAAAACAAAGTACAAGAAGCAAAACTTGTGTCAATGTGTCAACCACGTGAATTTTCAATAAGAAAATATCCAACACTATGAAAAATTTGCTTAAACACATACAAGCACAGGGGACAGAAAATAGGTTTAACCACAAAGTTCTGAAGAAATTTTAGGGCGTACCAGGAGAACCTCCTTTGCCTGAGAAAGGATGCCCTCATTTTTGTCCGGAGAGAGGCATCTCATGATTGAAATCAAATCCAACGCCTCCTCCTTCACCGCCCATCGTCGGGCGGAATCCTTTGCCTCCACCGCTGCCTCTGGGAAGGTAACGAGGAGGCTGTCAAAAGGACGGTGATTATGTCCGGCTCTGGAAATCCACCACGGAAATTGTTAGGGCTACGAGGTGGTGGTTGATGGGGCCATCGGAGGAGCGAGGGGGGGCCTCTGGAGCGCCTGTAGCGGTGTGAATCTTGGTTGTTGCCATATCGTTCTCCCGTGTCTTTCCATCTTCGAAAATCACCAAACCCTAACCCAAAAAACAGAGCACAGACATATTGAGATGAGTTTGAAATCTCACAGGAGAGAGAAAAGGGTAAAGGTCGCTGGAAGCTAGGAACGACGTGTCAATATATCAGCGGGAATTATAAGAGAAAAAAAAAAAATTCACTTTCTACCACGATTCTAAACCGTGGTAGAATATCATTTTTACCACGGTTCTATAGAATTGTGGTAAAAGATACTTTCTATCACGGTCCTTTAAAAATCGTGGTAAAAAATTCTTTCTACCACGGTTCATGTGAAACTACGGTAAAAAGTACGTGGTTAAAAATCATTTTTCTTGCAGTGAAAAAGATTTGGTTTGGTGGATGAGAAACTTGAGAATGTTTGGTAAACGGGCCTGGTTAGTGAGACGGTGGACACAGCTATGAAAAAGAAACTTCGCATCACATTCAATGCTCTGACACAGCTATGATCAACTTGGCTATTCCCAGGTGTAAAGTATGTCACAAATACACTTAATGCAATAAATAGAGTTAACAAGCAGGTTTCAAGACTTAATCAGAGGAAGTAACTTCTTAGAGTCCTAGAGTCATCATGACTACTTCAATAGCCATGACTAATGACGATTGCTTTTGGTTAAAATATCTAATGTGTATTAAGGCTATAAATAGGAGCCTCTACACATGTATTAAAGGGCAAGAAAAACATATCAGATAAAGATAAATTAAGTTGATCCTGATACCGCATCCCCTATCTCCACCAACGTACTCACTAACCAGTCTACTTTCTCCTCTCTCTCCACCCTTTTCTGGATCCTTCACATTTGTGTTTAAAGATATCACCATTTGTTTACTATTAACTTGTTTTAAAAAAAGACCCTCCTACAGAGGTTAACTCGAACAAAATATAATCTCATATTTTTAAGCGATAAATGTACTTTGTGAGTGCAAAATATGTTAACATGATTTGAATATGACATAAGATAAAATAAGTTGAATAATTGTATTCGGTTTGTAATTGTCTCGACTTGAATTGCCATCCAATGTAACTTATATTATTTTGCATTATGATAGTTATTAGTAAAAAAATATATTTTTTGGGTAATTAAATCACAGACACAACCAAGAGAATTCTTTCCACCAATATCAAAATAATAATAGTTATTAGAGCATTCAGTAAATAACTTTCAACCTTTACTTTTTATTAATATTTTAAAGCAAAATAGGCTAGCAATTTTTTTGATAAGAAAACATTGGTTACACAATACAACCAAAAACTTTGGCTACTACCTATCAAGCATCTTGGAATTCCCCTTATCTCTACGGGCCTCAATGTAGCTGACTGCAACATCTTGATTGATAAGATCACAGCAAGAGTCAACCATTGGGCATCCAAAAGCATTTCTTATGCAGGCAAATTGGTGCTCATCAAATCAGTCCTTATTTCAACACAAATGTTTTGGTCTAACATTTTCATTTTACCTAAGAAGGTGATTGATGACATCAACTCACTACTAAGAAGGTTTGTATGGTCTGGTCCTGACCTTAAGAAGACTGGAGCTAGAATCGCTTGGGGATCAATTTGTAAGCCTAAGGAGGAGAGTGGGCTTGGGATTCCAAACTTGGAATTGGTGAACAAGGCTGCTATGTATGGGAGCTAAAGACTGGCAGTAACCAGAGAATTTGGGTACTATGGTGCATAGCATATCTCTTCAATGATAATAATTTATGGTCCATGAATATTCCATAACAGTGCTCTTGGAGTTGGAGGAAAATCCTGCTGATGAGACCACTAGCAAGGAAGTTGATAATGCGTCAAGTGAAGAATGGTGAGAGTACATACCTTCTTCTGGACTGATTGTTGGCTCAATGGAGGACCCCTATTGATTTTTTCAATGAAAATACCATTCAAGCATTAGGATCATCACTAAACACCAAAGTAAGTTCCTACATCCGCTCCACAAATTGGGCATTTCCACATCAGCTAGTCACTATCATCCCTGAGCTTGCCCTGCTGCAACCACATGTGCCATATTTACTAGATAAAATAATCTGGAATGATAGTCCTACCGGGGAATACTCACTCAAACACATTCTGTGAACACTCTCCCCAGCCTAACCAGGTATTCACTGGGACTCAATTGCAATTCTAAGATAGAAGATGATACGGGCCAGTGGCCTAGCGGTATCATCCCAAAGGTTAGGGGTTCAAGTCTAAGAAGAGATAGTGTGCTTGAGTACTGACTAGGAACAAAAAAAAAAAAAAAAAAAAAAAAAACTCCCATCTATTCTTTGAATGCGATTTCATCCCACCAATTTGGCGTTTCATTCAAGATAGATGCAGATGTTACACAAAAGTGATAATTGGCCACAATTCATCAATTGGGCGAGTCAACATTGGGTCAATAAAAACCCTAGAATTTTGCTCTCTGAATTGGCCCTTGCAGTCATGGTATATACCATTTGTCAAGAAAGGAATAGCAGACTCTACAGGAACATACCTTCGACGCAAACAAAAGTGCTTAAACTGGTCGTAAACTCCCTCGCCGAAATACTCAAATCCTCCGAAAAAGAGACCATCTCAGCTCTTGCGAATGAATTGAGCTTGGTTTCTACTCGTCAACGGCCGCCTTCGAGACCCCCTGACTGAGGATATGGGGTGACCATCACACTGATTGATTGCCCCTGGATTCACCGGATTGCTTGTAGACGTCCTTTACTAACTGCAAGAGAGCAGTTATCAACGACTATCTCTTTGCTACTTATCATCATTGTTGGTTGAATTTGAGTTTCAATTTTGGGTTGTTACTTTGGGATCATGGATATTGCCTATTTGGGTTGGTCTGTGTTTTGGGCTGCCTGTGTGTTGGCTTGCTTGGGCCTACTGGCCTTGTAAATTTCTTTTACATTTATACAATTTGGTTAAACATTCAACAAAAAAAAAAAAAAAAACTTATATATACAAATTGAATGTTTTTTCCGAAAAATAAAAAGTAAAAAATTGCTACGTCCTTAATTGCAATTAATTTCAATAAAAATAAAAAAGAAAAGAAAATTAGTTCGATAAATTTCAATTTGATTGAGGAAGATCCAAATTGTAATCGGGAATGTGTTTGTTTGTCAGATAAATTGAGCTTTGAGCTTGGCCCTGGTTTAAATGCATTATTTATGTCTATATTGTAGTAGTATTAGTTTAAGATGTCTCTTTTGTTTCAAACGTCGGGCTTGGGCTCGAAGACTGTTTGATTGCATTCAGCCCATTCCTCCCAATCAACTTGAATTTTTCGGGAAAACAATAATAATAAAAATAGGGTTAATTTATATACTAGTGGGGACACGTGAGGATTTACCAATATTTGTGTGTGCCACATCAGACTCATTTTTTGTGAAATAATTCTTTGTCATCTATTTTTTTTTGTCTCCCCACTTTTCCTTTCTCTCTCTGTCTCTTTGTTTCTTTCTCCTCTCTCCATCTGGATCAGTTCATCTGTTTCATCAATTCTTCTCATATTTCCTCTTTCTTTCAAAATCTGGTTGTAAATCACAAAAGTTTTCATTACAAGAGACATTTATTCTCTTATTACATAATGAAAGTATACTTGAAAAGAAAACTAATTTGTTTATTTTTTTAAAAAAAAAACTAACCAAGAGAAGAAAAACAAATAAATCTTATTAAAGTTTTTCTTTGATTTGCATAGGGACAAAATCCAACGGAAAGAAACAACAGCCAATATTTTTTCCCTTTTTATTTTTTTTTTGTGCATTGTTTTGGAAGAAATTTTAATGCTTTTAAATTTTTACCTTCAATTTTGAGAAATCAAAACGTAATAGAAAGAGAATCGAGAGAGGAAGAACCCAGAAGGGAAGCCAGAAAAGAGGTGAGAGAAATGAAGAATAATAGAAGAGAGAGAAAGGAAGAGGCAGCAGTATCTCACGCTACATATTTGAAAATGACTTGATGTGAATAAGCACATTAAATTCGGCCTAAGGTGTTTGATTCGGTTCTCGTATTATTTTTCATATATAAATTTTAGGGTTAATTACAGTGACGTCTTTGAAGTTTACTCCATTGATAATCAGATAAAAGTTAACCTCTTTTTGAACAATGACATCCCTCATCAAATTTTGTATCCAAACAAACCCTTAAAATATGTAAAATATCTACTTTACCCTTGAATATCTTATCAAATTTTAATATAAAATATATAAAACATTAATATATTAATACTATTTTTTACTTTTTATTTTTTTCTCACCTCTCCCGTCTTTCCCAAGAACGATCCAGATCCATGTCTTCTTCCACATCATGCGACTAAGGCAAAGCTCCAATGAAGATTCTAACAACAAAGATCCAACAAAAGGCTCGGCAACAACCAAATTGACATGACTACGACAATGGTTGCCGGTGACAATAGTAAAGCACAACTCCGATGACAAAGTATTAGATTCCGGCGACGATGTAGCAGTGAAAACACTCCGATGACGATGACGGTTGATGAGGGCAAAAGCTTGGGAAGATTCGGGTAACGATTATCGTAGATTCCGGCGAGATTGTTGGCGACGGGTGTTGTTGTTGATTGGTTCAAATCGTGCGGCTATGGTTTGGGGTCTTGCAACTTAGGTATGGTAAGAGTGAATTTGCTGGGTGCGAGACCATACTCTCTGTTACCTTTTCCCTAACCTTTGGATTGTGAGAAATCCTCTGCAAATCTCATTGGTGACTCTTCTCTAACCCTAATTTCACTGCAACGTTATGCTGATATTTTGGGAAATGTCTGACAACAACAAGGGAATCAGTTTAATTGGCGTGTGTAAATATTGTATTTGTACTTTATATGTAGACTGATTTTTAGCTTATTATTTTAATTTTTTTCTCAACTTTTGTTTCTGAATTTTGCAATTAAATTCTGGCTTGCTTCATTGTTTGAAGCTTGACGTTTCATGTAGTCAATATTGCATATACATATATATATATATATACATACCCACACGTATATATATATATGGAAAGAGAGTCCTTAGAGAGACACCTCCATTAATGCTAATCTCCATTGATGCTGAACTCACACACACACATATATATATATGTATATATAATTACTTTGGGGGTGATGTGCTGGGAATTTGAGAAGACAGTGAGAGAGGGGATTAAAATTGGTTAGAAGGACATTTAAGTCATTTCATAATTCAAAGCTTGTTGTTGACAAGTCAAAGGGCATATATGTCATTTCATAATATATGATGGGGCAGGTGATGTTTGGTGTCTTTGTTAACTTTATCAAAATTGAGGAGTGTCATTGTTAAAAAAGAGATTAATTTTCATCTGACTATCAATATTGTAAATCTCAAAGGTGTGACTGTAATTAAACCTAAATTCTAAAGTAGCATGAGTTACGTACAGAAGCTTCTCATTGCCTTGTACTTGCATGTTTGAAAATTAATCTAACTTCTATTTTTGAAATTACAATCACAGATTCACATGGATTGGTTCGAATGGTATCATATTTTGCACCGTATTTGAAATTCTTAAAAAATAAAAAATAAAAACTTTCAAACATGTTTACGAACAGCTACATAAACTATATATAGACTATAGAGAGATAAAATACAAATCAGTTTCATTTAACGAACTAAATGGGATTGAATGTGGTGAATTGATTATAACTGTGCTATAGATACTTTTTGAAGATAATTTTATTTAAAAGAAATTAAAGTATGACAAAATAAATATGTACATGAATTTCTTGATTTTGCAATTAGAAAATTTCATAAAAAAATAAAATAAAAATTGAACTTAATTATTGATAGGGTAGCACGAATGGTTGAATGTATGTTCTTCTGTTAACTTTCTCAATTACAGTAATTCAACTCCAAAAAATAAGCTTAAAACTCACTTGGGACTTAATTCATAATGGATATCGATCCCAGTATCCAAACTGAGATGAGGCTGAATTTAGTATAATCTATTCAGTTAAAATTGTAAAAACCAAGAGAAAAACTTTGAGCATTCAATAAAATTCATCTTATAAAGAAGGCATGAATGGCACCAGTAATATACTCGGACTGAAACCAAAATCCACCGTTGTGAGCACTGAATTACAAGATCATCCATTTCCACCTCGGTTTACAAAAATAAATAAATATATATATATATATATATATATATATATATATATATATATAACTCAAGTCATTGTAAAAAGCAATTGGATGTTCCGATACAAGGCAGCAACACCGCCAGCACCGGCGGCCAACAGAACATATCCCAATACCTCGTCATATCTTCTTAAAATAGGTTCATACCATGACAATCTTGTTGATATTAACTCGCAGTACCTCTCTGCATATCTGAAGAAGTTCTTATTTCTGATGGCCAATGCTTTACTATTCTATAGCGAAAGAAACACAAGAAGTTTAGTAATGATTTCATTTACAGCTGTGAAGAGACTATAATTAAATGCAATAGATATATAGCCTTTTGACAAATAAATATGAAAATGGTGTCAATTAGAAATGTTTACCTTCTGCCTGAAACTCTTTAAGCTGGTCTTTAAAGATTGAAGATTATAATGTTTAACAGAGTGCTCCTCCAATCCATTGTATAACTTATCCAGAATATAAACACTTGCTTCAATATTATCTAAATAAAGGTCCTCCTGTTTCAAAATGAAATTTTTATGAAAAAAAATTAAACAAAAAATACCTTATATTTTGAGCAATTAATCAAAATTAATTATACACCCACGTACCCATTGCTTGTAACAGTCTTGGTTCTGAGTCAAACACCATATGAATATATTGGTTGCCTCGTCAGTTAAGCCATGTATACCTGCAAATAATCAAGCCACATATAAAGTTTGGTTCCCAAATTAAGGAAGAACACAACACAGCCACTAAAATATTGTAGTCTATCCTAATTAAGTTTACATTTATGTTCTCCAACAGCTTTGATGGCAAATTGCAATATTTCCCCAGTTATCTGCTTCATTTCTTTGCTACCAGGGGAGCAAGCAAGAGCAATCTTTTTTAAGGTGCGATACACGGCCTCAAACCTTTGAGTAGCCTGCACAAAATACATTGAAAATGCAGGCCTCAAAACCAAACTTCGGGATATAATCAGAGACCTCCGAGTCTCATGTATTGAGCAGAGACTATTGCATAATGCATATGCTACCAAGCTAAGAATACACACCTTAACCTTATCCTTCAAATACACCGGGAAGGCGATTCTCATTAGAAGCTCAAGAGCCCATGGTGGCACTACGCGCTCCCCATTCCAGACTACTCCATTTAATAGAACGGAACGAGCTTTTGGGACAGATAGAATTCTGCAAATTAGGAACATATGAATTTAAAAGATGGGATTCATGTAGTTGAAAGTAGGTATATATATATAGTTGCTAAATTAAGTGTAATGGTTTCCAACCTCTCCATAAGCTTTAAAATCAAGCATCTGTTCTGCCGATTACTATAGCTCAGCATTGGCAAGAGTAGGCGTACCCACATGAAAAGCCCCACAATCAAATTTCCTTCGAAGGCCTATACAAATTTAATTTTAGTTCAATAAATTATTTAGTAGGAAAACAATTATCTTTGTAGTAATATTGTCCAATTTTTACCTGGGCAACCAACCATATTGTTATTTTTTGTTTATCTTGATGTACTTGATATTTTGGGTCCTTCGCCATTACAGGAAAGAGGCTGATCAACACCTCAGGTTTCTGTCGTACCACCGTTGCTAAAACCACAAATATGGCAACCTGCACCTTGCAAGTGTATATTATAGAGAAAAATTATGACTATGAATAATGTTAGCAGAAATTGAAAGAAAACCACAAAGATCAAGGATGAAAAACAGAATTAAATAATAAAAAAAAGGATTCAGAAATCGGATTTTAAGCTTATAAGCTCGTTGGAGAAAGCTAGAAGGGCAAATATGCAGGAGTTTTCAAGAAAAAAGTAGAGAAAAAGGAGGACATAATCAATCTTTCCTGCATTTCGTTACAATTACAACCAATTCCTCCATTACTTTCACCACTAATCAGCTCCATATACATGATATTAGGGCACTTCTTACATGCAATTCATTTTTTGACATACAACAAGTATATCAATATCACAATGTGTGTGTAAAACCACTCTACTTTGGATACTTGACTTGAGAGTGTAACATAACAGAGTAAACAGCATTATGATTCTAAAAATAAATATGTTGATCATAACTGAAGATAATTTTATGAAAAAAGAAAATTTTACCCGTGACTTTTTAGGTTTCTGAACCATCCCTCTCCATTTGTCACAGAAAATTTTATCCAATGACCGCAACACAAAGGGACCAAGTGCTTCACAAGATATCTGGCTAAGCCAATCAACTGATGCCATATGGACATCATTCGATATGTGAGAAATAGGGATCTGTTAAGAGAAAAGTAAGTGTCCAAATTTAGTAATCATATCATATATGTACGAGTAATACACAACACACACGCAAGGCAATACCACATGCATATATATGCATTCACAAAATACTCCACACAATTCTGTTCCAGAGTTGTCATAAATTCTGCCAAAGATGAAGAATTGGATTAGTCCGAGTATTGCGGACTGGTCCAACATGCTTGAAATGTGCGAGAATCAATTTTCTCTTTTGTTCGGGACTTTCTAAAGGGCCTAGACTTGTGGAGAATCAATGTGTTAGTTAATTTTATCATACAATGCTTCCTGTATTTAAAAGATGAAACAATTGTACGTCTCCCTGTCACACACACACATATATATTTAGATAATCGGGGTGTCCGGGTCTTTACCTCTACAGTAAAAGAAAGGATACCTCTCATATATATTGTCACTCTCTAAAATTATTTTCTTGATTAATTTAAATTGCTTAAAAGGGCATCTTTCATTTATTCCTTTTATCATATAAAATCAAATAAAAGAATAATAAAAACTTAAAAACTATGAGAGAAACTCACATCAACTATCTTCCCAATGGAGGACTCCCTGAATATCTTCAACCATGGGAACTGAGTAGAACTAACTGAAGCAAACACGCGGTCAAAATAATCTGCAAATAGCTTGACCTGAATATGCTGCTTCGATTCATACGAAGCCTAAAAAATCCACAAATAATTTTTGTTAACACAACGAACACATAATTCAATCCAATTCTAAACAGAGTCCATTAAACCATATTGACATGTAAAATAAAAATAAAAAATAAAATAGAAACTCACGGTTGTCTTAGCAAGGAAAGCAGCCAGATCAGAGGCATTGATCTTCGCCGCAGCTTCTGCCACAGTAACCTCGGGATTCTCTGGTTGATTTGGTTTCAGCTCTGGTTGTTTTGGCTTGAGGTGATCGTGGTCGTTACCGGAGCTCTGAGGAGGAGCCACCGTGGTATTGCGGTTCAAGTACGTTACTACTACAATTTTCCTGCGATTATAAGTTTCCAGAGTCATGTCAACGTCTTTCAAATTGTCAGCCATTGTCACCGGCCTCTTTCCCTCCTCCTCTCAATCACCCTTTGTCTATTGATACGACAGAATTATTGAATTAATCACAGTTTCTTCTCTAATAGGTAGTATATACATATATATATAAATATATATATAGTGAAAGAGAGAGGCGAGTTTCCTTACATTCAAAATCCTTTTAGGAAACTGTCTCCTTATTGGAATGAGAGGCGAGTTTCCTTACATTCAAAATTCTTTTAGGAAACTGTCTCCTTATTGGAAAGAGAAAGGAACTCAAATTAATTCTATAATATATATTTAAAACTATTAAGTGTATTTTTTTCAAAAATAAAAAATAAAAATTCTCCATTTCAAAGATAAATGGTCCGAAAGCCCGAAGTTTTAATTTTTTTTCAGTTGGTGGAGGCCCAGCATTCTTGCCAAATGACCCTACAGGCCCAATTCTCTTCCCAGCTTGTGCCTGATATGTTTAGAAAAACTGTATTCTTATTTAAGGATAGGACTACTGCATCTTAACATTTTTCTTACTTTTGAAAAAAATCTTTGTGCGACTCAGCTCGCAGCCATACTGGGCCACAAAGCCCAAGGTCAGGCCAGTGTAGGTGTCGGGTGTCGAACTATGTTGTGGGAATTTTTCTATAATTTTAGTGGGAATAATTTTAAAATTTTGATAAGTATTTAATATAAAAAAGAGAGGAAATAATAGGTATAAAAAACAAAAAATTGCAATTTGGATATGACGTAGGTCCAAACATTGTCCTTTTTATAATGGTCATTGTGACCCCTAAAACAAATCCTTAGCTCCATATTTGGTTCAAGGGTTTCTAGGCCAAACATAGCCTTTTAACGTTATAGTATATTTTAATAAAAGTATAATAATTATATAATGGTATAAACTACATTTCACATGATTTTTTTGCGATGATATTTTATCCAAATCTAATTCGACTTTTTAATGAGTGATTTATTATTTGTATCACATTCAACTAAAAAACCAAGAGAAAAGCTTGGAGCATTCAATAAAATTCTATGTTATACCAGCAATAAAACCAATTTTAGGCCACCAAAATCTACGATAACACGGATCAATTCCTTCCCAGCTCTGTTTACAAAAGATAAAGAAAAAGAAAACCGCTAAATAACTCAAATTCTTTGTAACATGAAGACAGCAGCACCAACTGCAACCGCAACATATACCAAGCTCTTACAGCATCCACAGCCCCACGACGACGACGACAATCTTCTTGAAATTAAGATGCGGTACTTTTCTGCATCCATAAAGGAAGCGCAAGCTTGATCATCCTCCATGATGGTCAATGCTTTCTTATTCTATAGGACAAGAAACATAACAAGTTAGCATATCTATTAAGAAACTATAATTAATATGAAAACGGTGTCGATTACAAATGTTAATTACCTTCTGTCTGAAACTGTTCAAGGTGTTCTTCACATATTGAAGGCTTGACTTTTTAACATTGTGCATCTTCCATTCATCATTCAGCTTTCTCAAAACAACACCACTTGCTTGAATATTATCCGAATAAAGGTTGTCCTGTTTCAAAATCAAGAAAAAATTAAACAAAAAGAGCAATTAAGTCAATAAACAGGAGGAGGAGAAAACAATAATCCAAATTACGCACCCATTGCTTGTAACAGTCTTGGTTTTGAGTCAAACACCATATGAATATATTGCTTGCCTCCTTCGATAACTCGGGTATACCTGCAAATTAATTAACAAAGGCAGATACAAAGTTATTAGCTTGCTTTGTTCCCAAAGTTACAGGGCCACTAAAATGTAGTAGTCCCTTCTAAGTTTGTTCTAGCTCCTTACCTTCTCCAGCAGCTTTGAGGGCGAATTGCAAGATTTGAGGCGTTATTTGCTTCATTGCTTTGCTATCAGGGGAGCCGGCAAGAGCAACCTCTTTCAAGGTGGGATACACAGCTTCAAATCTTTCAGTAGTCTGCGCAAAATACAGTAAAAATGCATTACTTAAAACAAAATTTTGAGATAATCAAAATTTTGTATATAATATTGCATATGCTACCTAAGAATACAAACCTCAACTCTAGCCGAATCTTCCGGGAAGGTGATTCTCATTAGAAGCTCAAGAGCCCATGGTGGCACTACGCGCTCTCCTTTCCAGACGACTACATTTAATAGAATGTAACGAGCCTTTGGGGCAGATAGAATTCTGCAAAATTAGGAACATATGATCAATTTTACAAGTTATAAACATGTACAAAAGGAGGAATTGTTGCTAAACTAATTGTGTTGGTTTCAAACCTCTCCACAAGCTTCAGAATCAAGTCTCTGGAGTGTGAATTGCTGCTGCTCAGCATTGGCAATAGTAGATGGACCCACATGAAGAGCCCCACAGTCAAATATCCCTGGCAGGCCTACACAAATTCAATTTTAGTTTAATAAATTATTTACTTGGAAAACAATTATCTTCATTAATGGAAGGTCTCTAATTTTTACCTGAGCTATTAACCATATTAATAGTGGAAGCTTATCTTGACCTTGATATTTTGGGTCCTCTTTCATTACAGGCAAGAGAATGTTCAACACCTCCGGTTTTTGTCGTAACACCATTGTTAAAACAACAAATATGGCAACCTGCTTTTCCATTGTAATAATATTAGTAAATCAGTTATTAAGATGAGCAACAGAGAAATATTTGTGACTACGGACAATGTTAGCAAAAAATGAAAGAAAACCACAATGAGAAAAGGAAAAATAATAATAATAATAAATAATTTAAAAAAAATAAAGCAAGCAGATTTTAAGCTTATAATCTCATTTGAAAAAGCTAGAAGGGCAAATATGCAAGAATTTCCTAGGGGGAGAAAAATAAAAATAAAGAGTACACAATCATCTTTCCTACAATTAGTTGCATATATGTACAAAAAACAAAACTTATGCTTGCATCGAATCGAACAATGCCACTCAGCTAAAAAAATGATATTTGTAAATTTAAAACAATTTTATATGGGGAAAAGAAAAATAATCAAGTTAGGAAAAACTAGGGGAAAAAAAAAATCAAGTTAGGAAAAGTCTTTGCAGATTTCTAACGGATTACAATTTAAACCTAATTCCTCAATTACTTTCAACAGTAATTAGCTGTCTTGTTACATGAAATTTAGGACACTTCTCCATACAAATTTACATGCAATACACTTTTTGACATGGAACACATATCAATTACAATATATGTGTGTGTGAAACCACTCGATTTAGGAGACTAGACACTTGAGACAGTGACTTAACAGAGTAAACAACATAATGATTTTTTTAAAACAAATATGTTGATCAGAACTGAAAATAAGCTCATGAAGAAAAAAAAATTTACCCGAGACTTTGGAGGTTGCTGAACCACCTCTTTTGATTTCTTGCCAGTTTTTTGACTCCTATCTATATCAGAAAGAATTATATTCAATGACCGCAGCACAAAGGAACCAAGTGCTTCATAAGATCTCTGGTTAAGCCACTCAATTGATGTCCTATAAACGGCTTTTGATACGTGAGAAATAGGAATCTGTTGAGAGCAAAATAGATGTTGAAATTTAGATATTCTGTAATACACAACACATACACAATGGAATACAACATGCATGCATTCACAAAATACTCCACAGTCCACACAATTCTACATATGCACGGGTTAAATATATTTACAATTGTTCCTGCATTTATTTACACTTTTTACCTCAAAATCATTCAAAATTTCTTAATAAAACTAATAATTAAAGGTCTTCCTGTCATATATTATCTCTCAAACTATTGTATTGATCAATTTTAATTGCTTAAAAGGATATATTCAGTTTACCTTTTCATCTATCATGTAAAATCAAATAAAGAAATAATAATAACTTAACAAATATGAGAGAAACTCACATCAACCATATCCCCCAAAGAGGACTCCCTAAATAGCTTCATCCATGGGAACTGAGTAGCACTAGTTGAAGCAAACTCGCGGCCAAAATAGTCTGCAAATAGCTTTAGCTGTATACGCTGCTGTGATTCATACGAAGCCTAAAAAAACCCACAAAGAAATTCAATTAATTTTTTAAAGGCATCAACCAAATTGTTCAATTCAATCCCATGCATCAAGACAACACAGTTTCATTAAACCATATTGATAAGAAAAAAAAATAAAAAATAAAAAACTCACGGTTGTCTTAGCAAGAAAATCAGCAAGATCAGATGCATTGATCTTTGCTGCAGCGTCAGCGACAGTAACCTGGGAGTTCTCTGGCTCCATCTTGTCGGACTCATCACTGTCACTGTCACTGTCACTGTCGTCATCAACTTCACCGTTGTTGATCGAATCTAAGATGTGGAAGTTCAAGCGATTACGGGGTTTTTGGGGACCGTGGGAGCTCTGCGGAGAGTTTGCCTTCTCCTCCGTTTTCCAATGACCCACAGTCTCCATTGTTGTTTGCTCTGTCTCTCCTTCTCTCCAAACAATGACAGGCATTGTTAGCTCTCGCTCTCTCTCTCTCTCCAAACAATCCCTCTTTTGAAAAGAATTAATCACAGTTTGTTATGTAACAGATAGTGTGTGTGTATACATATATATATATAACAGAAAGGTTGCTGGTAGTTAAAATCCTTTTTAGGGAACTGTCTCCGAATTGGAAAGAGAATAGAAAGAGCACACCTATCACAACTCGGAATCCTCTCCAAAACCCAAAAATCCAATCCGAGACAGAGTTGGTGGGCCCTAGCGTGCGACACTGTGGAAATATAAAGAATTAAAAAATATTATATATATATATATATATTTTTGTATTAAAATACAAATAAGTTCTATAATTTTTTTTTAAAAAACTAATCAGTCAATTTTTTAATTTTTTTTTAAATATGAATGAATCTTTATTTATTTCAAAGTTTTACTATAATTTTGCCAGAAGTACCACACCGTATCCTTTTTTACCATTACTGTGTAACCCTTTAAAGAGCCCAAGAGAACCAAGTTGAAAAAGTTTCACCGTTGGTGCAGGCCCAGCCTGCTTGCCAAATGACCTGATAGGCCCAATTGTCTTCCCAGCCTGGGCATGATATATAACTCGTTCGGGCCTTCCTAGTATAAAATTAAGGCCCATCAGCGTTTAGGCTGGCCTGAATTTGAGTCTTAGCCTTCTTTTCCCTTTCAGAACGAAAAGTAGAGATAATTAATTCTTCCCATCAGTATTGTGAAAGTTCTATAAGATTTTTTTTTTTTTTATAAAAAAAACTACATAATTCCTAATTAAATTTAATATTTAGAGAGATTGTATCTTATTACGCCTATTATATTATATATGCTAAAGAGAACAGGAATATCAGTGTAGGAGATATGTTAGTGATAGTCAGTGTAATTCCAGTTCTCATATTTTGTGAACCATCTATTTATTTATTTTTTTATTCATAAATATATTGCATGAAAAGAATTCTCAATGCAATTTTGAAAAATTATTCAGGGACTGCATATAATTAGAGCTTTGAATTGAAATTGGTAGAATTTTAAAAAAATTTGGTTCAGTTTTTTTTTTTACCAATTCCATGCAACCAATTTTTTTTTTTTTTTTTAATTCCCACCAATTCCAAGACTCCAAATTTATGTAGCCGAACACATCCGAATTTCATTGTTTTATGGATTATTTGAATAATAATATTTTATTATTTTATGGGTTAATGAAAAATGAGAGCTCGTCAATATATCCAAGAGAGCTCTCTCTTAATAACTTTACTCTATTATTATTCAAATAACCGATAAAACAATAAAATATATATAATAATAATATAATGAATGGTGAAAAAATTCACCTTAAATGCTCCTTTTGGGCTGGGGTTGTTTCAAATGGACGAGCAACAAACAATTGCACTCAAATAGAGCCCACCAACCTTTCTTGAGAAGTGAGGCAACACATCCACATACCACAGCCTTCACGGTGACATACCAGCCAATAGGAAGACCTCAAATTTTTTTTTTAATTTCTTTATATTATATCTTTCCTAAAATCTTTATTTCCTTCTTATTCTCAATCCAGCCAATATAAAGACCCCAAAATTTGTATTTCCTTATATTATAACTTTCAAATTTTTTATTTGTTTATATTATAACCTTCCTAAAAATGTTATTTCCTTCTTATTACTAAACTCGCCCAATAAAAAGGCCTCATTTTTTTTTTTTTTATCTTATATTATAACGTCCTTAAAAAATTTATTTGTCTCGATTATTAGACCCTAACTAATACAGATTTAATAAAGGTCAAAAGATTTCTATCTTTATCTTACTACTTCTCCTTCTTCTTCTTCTTCTTCTTCTTTTTTTGTTTTTGTTTTTGTTTTTTTTTTTTTTCAGAATTTGTAAAACTTTTCATATTCTTATTTTAACTTTTATCTTTTTTTGTTTTTTTTTTTTTTTCTTTCTTATTTCTGAAATATTTTTCCTCTATTAAGTATAAGTTGTATAACTTTAAGATCAATTATGTGACAAGAAAGATTAATTGAATTGACTATATATATTATATATTAAAAGGTTACTTTTATATTTTTCGTTTAAGCCCTCAAATTATATTTTTCGTTTAAGCCCTCAAATTATATTAAGCCGCCCTTGAATGAGATAATCAATTAATCAAGAGCTCCCAACATCTTATTAGCTAGAATATCATAAAGCAGTGACCAACAATAAAATAAGAAAACATAACATCAAATTAACTTGTTAAAGATTCATTTTCATCACACGTTTGCAAATTTACAATCCTACCTTCTCTCTTATACACATCGTTTAGGTTTCGTTTGGAATGAGGGATTTAGAGTGAATGGGGGGAATATGAGAGAAAAGAAAGGATTTGGAGAGATTTGAAGGGATAGAAATCCCTCCAAATCCCTCATTTGGAATCCTTCCAAAATTGACAAGATTTGGAGGGATTTGGAGAGAATGGAGCAAATTACAAAAGCAACCGTGAGAGAAGGGGCAAGCTTGGTTGAGAGAAGGGTAAAATGGTAAATTATTAATTCCTTTCTTTTCTTTTCTTTCCATCCAAATAAGAATATTACCCGTTCCTTTTTTTTTTTTTCCTCTTCTATCCATCCAAATATGAATATTATTATATCTATTATTTCATTTCATTTCTCTTATAATTATTTTCTTTCTTTTCTTTTGTGTGTATCCAAACGAAACCTTAGTTTCAAACACACCAATCTCAGTTGCGAGACCGGACAGAGTTAGGGCTCTGTTCCAGAATCTCTGCTATTTTGAACATCACCGTCTCACGTAGAACGAATAGAGCACCTTCATACAAACTTCCCACGAGAAGCAATACCCTAGACTCACTCATGCTATCATCATCTGCCATTGTTCTTGCCGGTAGATAAGCAATTGCACTTGTGTACGCTGCAGTAGATCCAGATTCCGGTTGAGCCGTCACCAATAGTATACGTACACCGCTAGTTTTGGCGACCGGACATATGGTGAGCGAAAACGTTGAGTAGGTCATGAGGGTCCAGATGAGGAGGAGTAACGTCAAACACACAGTGAGTATCAAGACCTGAGCCTCGTGGCCAAGCCTTTGAGAATGAGACCTTCACGCCCCACTCTGTACACGAATATTTGACCATCAGATCAACGGAGGTGATTTCCTCCACCATCACATCAAGTGGCTGTGTTGTGGAACTGGATTCGGTGAAAACAGAATTTATTTCTTGACATATCTAGGTTGCTAAAGCAAAATGGGAATATTGGCGGATAAATTACATAGATGCCTGTTGAAGTTAGGTTATTTCTTATTTAAATAAATATTTTAGTTTTAATTTTTACTCACATTTCAAAGAATGATGTATTTTACTTACGTTCCAAATGCCCCGTTTTTTATAATGTCATAGCACTTTTAAGTGTAAAATGATTATATTACCTCGTTTGACTTTGTATTTATTTTATTTCATATATATAATGACTTAACTACCCAATAGGCCCATTTGAAATGACCAACATGTCCTAGAATTTAATTCCCAAATCACAAACTGAATTTAACCGCTCCAACTTTCCATCTCTTTGTCTGCAAACCAGACCACCCTAATAGAAACATGTCACAGCTATGCCCAAACCACGGCGGTTGTGGAGGAGACGAGAACTACGACTAAAAGGGAGGTTGCGGAGATCAGACTGAGTCAATACCGGCGTCCTCTCTTATGTCCGTTACTTTTTCATCTATTCGCCACCACCATTTTCGACAACATCCACACACTCCTCACCATCAAATTGAATATGGAATCCACCAATTCCATATTCAATTTCTAGCATTATTTGATTTTGGACTTTAGACCCAATCAGGTGAAAGATATATAGAGAGAGAAAGCTGAAGAAGGTGAGTTTGCAGAGACAACCCATAAGTTTCGGCGACTACAGTAGTGACCCAAAAATTCATTTATTTTGACAGTGCAGCTACCCAAAAGTTTCAGCAATTGCAAACACCCGTCGATTCCGGCAACAAGACCTGAGCATCAACGACCCAACAGTAATGACCAAACCGGACAGTGAAGAATTACCCAGTTGTAGCTCCATCAACGTGAAAACCAGCGGAGATGGTGAAGCGGACTAAGTCGCGTGATGACCGACGGCTGATTTGCCAACGGTAAGGATCTGTATTTCGAGGTTGGCTGTGATGTACGATAGTGAGCCGACGATTCAAGTGGCGGTAGCGGTGGCGCTGCATGCCGACGATGAAGTGGCTGTGATGACAAATCAGGTGTAGAGGGATGCGAACTGGGTGTGAACAAATTGAAGAACAATGACTGTAAAGGTCACCTGTCCATGCATCTTCTTCACCATTAAACAGTTCATTGTTCGCCAGAAACCGTTTCAATTCAACTCACTGCCGTCCTTGCGCCACTGCAATCCCCGGAGTCCATGGTTGGTGACGATTTGGGTTATACATATATAGAGAGAGAGGGGGGGTGCTTTTGTCATTTACGATTACAAATATTTTATATTAAAAAATTAAGAATAAAAAGGTGAATTCACATGTGTTAAAAGTCAAAAGATACATCGGAATGTAAATAAAAATTAAAACTAAAATATTAAAAAATGACCTAAAAAGTGTCGTTATAATTTATCCAATATTGGCTGCTGATATCCATAATCGTACACTCTCAGTAGTACTTTTCTCAATTAAAGTATTAGTGACACGACACACAACAACTGTAAGTCATCTGTGTTTGTCATTGAGGTAACGTCACGTTAATTATGTTCCTGAGATATACTCGTTATGTTTTTCCCTTTGATTCTTTTTTTAATAAAATAATATTATTCAAAAATAAAATACGGCACTTTAAAATATTCTTAAAATGAGTAGTAATTAATTAATTTCTTTAAATTTCACTCACCCTCCGAGACTTGGGTCAACGCCACTCAGCGAAAAGTTAACGCATTAGTTTACATTGATATCCTTTGAAATTTCAAACATTTACATAAATACCTCCTTATTCGAAAAAATAACTATTTTAACCTTTGACTTGGTCAACAAATACATGAAAGGGTAAATTATTAATATAACCCTATAAACTAAATTTTATAGGACCAAAATATCTTTTATTTTACACTATCTTTCTAACCTCTGTCTCTTTTACTTACACACACTGTCTCTATTAGATTCGAATCCCTATAAAAAATAAAGCTTTGTACGGCTGGTCCATAGGCGTGTTGGTAACCTATGTCTCTTTACATGCACCACCCGATACCCACAACATATACTCTCTGTGTC